GGTGAATACCGTTTCAACTGTATTTTAAATTCAAATCTTCAGTTTATGTTTTCACATTTTCTTGGATGATTGTATTTTTGTTTTCGTATTTCTGTTTTACTGTTTTTTTTTTTCAAACCAGTAATTGTTATAACCAGCATTTCTTTCCTTTACCTCGCAGCCCTTTCCAAGAAAGCACAGGTCAAGTTCAAGGGGGAAAAAAAGGAACTCAAAGAGGAGATCATGTGCGAGGATTAGAGCCCTCGGCAGTATTACTGGGCCCCTTTGCACCTTCATTTGGGCTGTCCACGACCTGCATTGTGGAAAAGGACTCGGCTCATACATTTCCAGGCCGAGGGGGCGCCAGACAGTTACTGGGCGCCAGTTGGTTACGAGGACCAGTGTGTGTGACCGAGCCCTACGGAGACTTCCAGGCTCTTCCTGGCTGCGACATGGAAACAAAAAAAGCCACCAAATACCGAAAAGATGGCCGTTATTTACAATTTGATAGAAATGCTGTTGTCAATCAATAACTGAGTGAGGACGCCGCCCGGCCGGTTGGACCCGGGGGGGACCGCCCGGCTAAACCGGGCGCGCCAAAAAACTGCCCAGAAATACATATATATATATTATATATTGTCATATATATCGTCAAATAGAATATATAATATTATATATGCAAGGAATATGAGTGTGAACGATATACAGAAAACCAAGTTGCGAAATCACACAGATGTCCAAGTAGTCGTGACCAAGCAGAGAGTACAAACGCACCGAGAAAACCATCCATATAGAGCAATACAATGAAGTAATGAGTCAATGTCCAAGCCCGTAGGCCACACCAACACAGAATCCAAAGTCGCTANGCACCGAGAAAACCATCCATATAGAGCAATACAATGAAGTAATGAGTCAATGTCCAAGCCCGTAGGCCACACCAACACAGAATCCAAAGTCGCTACTCTCTGTCTGGCGCCCGCACCCAGCCTACTCTACCCGACTATCCTACCTACAGCTGTGTTCACGCAACAGGCTCACTTCGACTCTCGAAGACCAATGTACATGACTGTCAACTCCATAGCCGACCTCTCTTCATGCGCCAGGTACGTACCTCGTCACCCTCAATCAGACCTTGATTACCCCACACTCGCCTCCTTCCCTGAAGACCAGCCTCCTGGATGCTGCGTGTGGCCTGGCTGGAAGCTTCCAGTGGCTTCCGGTTGGGCCTCAGACCCTGCGCCCAGGCCCGAGACTACAGTTGCGGGTCTGGGCCCGTCTCAGTTGGGCACGGCCTGAGTCTCCGGACTTGGGCTGTTTGCTGCAGCTGTGCAGGGATCCCAGGCAGGTGCGTAGGCAGTACTGCTTTTCCAAAGGCCGCCAGCCTGTTTCCCAATGTATCGGCCCTGCTTTGTGTGTATGTGCCCAGGCGCAACTGTCAAGGCCAGGGCCAACTGTATGACACAGCTTAGTGAGGCTCACGTGTCTACCCAACCAACTGGCGTGCTGCGAGAGCCTGAATACCCACATACGGAAATGTCGAATTTTGGCCTAAGACGAATATTCAGGCCCGCCTTCACTTAGGGCGGGCACTCGGCTTGCTGGGGCCCTTAGCCCAAAACATGTGATGTCTGATAGGGCCCCTTGAGGGCTTGTTCCTCACATTCCATCCCCCTTAGCTTCGAAAGTCTGCTGAGATGCTTCATGCTGGTGCCTTCCCCTTCAGTTTCTTCTCATAATCTGCCACGATCTGAGGAGCTGTCTTGACAAGTTCCTCCCTTGAAATCCATCGATCTTCCTTAGGATCAGTATGATGCCTGAAATGTACTCTGTATTCCCTTGCAGGTTTAGTAGGTCTTCCCCTGTCAGGTGGCTTGGGAACAGGCGTGTCTCTGTGATCCAGGACGTCGTCGTCGTCCACGTGGCCATCCATGGTTGGGGGCAGCATAGATCTCCATGATGGGAAATGTGCGGTCTCAGCGAAAGGTGCAAGCTTGGAGGCGTGAAAAACAGGGAAAGTGCGTAGGTGACCAGGGATACGAATGACGTATGAGGGACCATCCAAATCATTCCCTACTATGTCTAGGACTTCCGAGGGACCGAAATACTGGGGCATTAGTTTCGTAGAGATCCCAAACTCCTGTCCCAACTCACTAGCCTTGACCTAGACACGTTCCCCTACCTGAAATGTGGACTGTCGGCGATGTTTGTTCTTAGAAGCAATCATAGCTTCCTGAGATTTCTTGATGTGTTCGACAGTCTGCTGCAACAATTTCTCATACCGGACACCAAATTCAATGGTTCCAGGAGTTGCAGCAGTTCGGTTCTCAGGCAGGAGGAAGTCTAGAGCAGATCTAGGCTTCCATCCCAGATGCAGCTGATTAGAACTGGCATCGGTTGTTGTACAGTCTGGCGATGAGAGGTAATTTCTCATCCCAGTCATCCTGGCTGGGCTTGATGTAATGCCTCAGTAGATGCTGCCCCACACGGTTCATCTGTTCTGCCTGCCCATTTGCTTCGGGATGATTCCCAGAAGTCATTTGAAGCTGGCTGCCCATCTGTTCAACGGCCTTCTTCCACATCTCACTTGTGAAACACACATCTCTATCACTAACGATTGTCTTTGGCAGTCCAACGTCGCGCACCCAGTTATCCATGAATAACTTGACGACATGTTCAGTCCTGACAGTCTCCGACATGGCAATTAGTCTAGCATACTTAGTGAACCTATCAACTATGACGAAGATGTGCCTCTTCCCATTCTTGCTGGTCACAAAAGTATCCATGAATCCATGGAGATACTCTGCCCTGGGCCAACAGGAATGGGTAGAGGCTTGAGTAACCCAAGCGGAGCTTGAGTCCGCGACTTGTCCCGCTGACAGCCCTGACAGGTCTGTACGTACTTCTTTGCATCGTCTAGCATGTTAGGCCACCAGAATCGCTATACTAAATTAACACTAGTCTTCTTGTAGCCAAAATGTCCCGTTGCGTCATGGCACTCACCTAAAAATAAACTACGCAAAACTTCCCTAGATGGAACAACTAACCTTTTAAACCCTGCCTTTTCAAGAAAGAGTAACCCATCCACCATCACAAACTCATCAGAGGTGGCCTTGCCTTTGGCCCAGAGTTTGTTGATGATGTCCATCGTGATGGGATCTTCCTCGTAGGCTTCCCCCAAAGATCGAGTCACGTCCTCAAATAAGCCAAACTCATAAATCAGCGCACCTACGTAGTCTGCCCTTCTAGACAACGCGTCCGCAACCTTGTTGTACTCTCCCTTCACATAGTCTAGTTTGAAGTCATACTGATCTATGACTTCAATCCAGCGTTTGAGTGCATCGAAGAGAACTGGTTGGGTCTTGATCCACTTGAGGGTCTGATCGTCAGTTCTCAAATAGAAGAACCTCCCTAACAGATAGTGCCTCCAGTGGACAAGTGCCTTGTAGAGAGCGTAGAGTTCCTTTTCGTAGGTGGACTTTGCCAACTTCTTTGATCGCATGTACTCGACCGGTCTCAACTTTTTCCCTTCCTGTTGAGCCAGCACTGCGCCAATGCCATATTGGCTTGCGTCAGTGGTAACAACAAATGGCCTTTGCGGGTCGGGCACCATGAGAACTTCATGGTGTGCGAGAGCATGCTTCAAACGCTTGAAAGCTGCCTCACACTCGTCGGTCCAATCCTATGGTGTGTCAAGTCGAGT